AACTTGCTCAGAGCAACTTGCTGAGAGAACTTGCTTGGAGAACTTGCTCAGAGGACATCGCGCCGACAACTTGCTCAGAGCAACTGCTGAGAGAACTTGCTTGGAGAAGTTGCTCAGAGGACATCGCGCCGACAACTGGCTCAGAGCAACTTGCTGAGAGAACTTGCTTGGGGAACTTGCTCAGAGGACATCGCGCCGACAACTTGCTCAGAGCAACTTGCTGAGAGAACTTGCTTGGAGAACTTGCTCAGAGGACATCGCGCCGACAACTTGCTCAGAGCAACTTGCTGGGAGAACTTGCTTGGAGAAGTTGCTCAGAAGAAATCGTGCCAACAACCTGCTCAGGTGTCGAGGTCTACGTGGATGCGGACGGGGCAGGATGCCTTATTACCAGGAAATCAATGCGTGGCTCCAACACCCTTGTAACAACAGTTGCGCTTGGCGGCAGAACGCAAGCTACAATAGCATGAAGTTCAGCAACGTCTGAACTTTCTGCAGTCTGCAGAGGAGTTAGTGAAGGGCTACAACACCTCAGAAGCCCCAACTAGAAACAAACAAATGCACACCGAACCCACAGCAGGCAAAAGCTTTGCTACACGACAAGGCGCCAGCGAACCGGCAACGCCTCAAATTTCTCTACGCCCAAGATCTCGCACAACACGGCGTCATACGCATCCACACACTTCACCAATATGGCATGCGCATCGTTTCACAACAGCTGTTTCACAACAATGTCATGGCACCCAACAAGTTTCAACCGCTAGAATTGAAACAGGCAGCTGACCTCTACTCACACTTGTGCTGGTGGTTGTATGACTTGTGCTTCTGGCGGCATGTGTGTGCCCGCGTCTTTAAGCCACTGCATAGGCTCTTTTGCGTTTGCCCCGTCCTGGGTGGTTGCGCCAGGACGAAGTGGCAATTACGCCAGACCGTGCTATGATTCCACTGGCTGGAGCTGACGCTACAAACGCGAGCCCTTTTCCATTTTAAGCCTGCAACTTCGGCCTACACATCGCTACTCAGCTCAACAAATACTACCTTCCACTCGCACTGGAAGACTACTGCTTCCTCACTACGGGCATTGACGTTGGACAACCGCATATGTGGCACGCCTGCTCAATCACCAAATGCCACAACACCAAAATCCTCCTACGCGCTACGAACTGCAGCACTATTCCGCCGCTGCACACAACAACTAGGGTACGACGCTTCGAGGATGTCGTGGACGGGTTAACGTCACCGTCCGTTTCTGTTGGCAGGCGCAGCCAAACCAGAAAAGTTGAAGGTTGATGGTCTTCTGGTTGATCTTCGCTTCTTGCCTTGGCACCGCCGTCCAAGTGCCAGCTTCTGACATACTGAAGCAGCGCGCCGTTCAAGCAGCCCCGCTGCAGCGTGGACACGCTCCGTGGCACGCACGTATCAAGTTGGCACCAGCGCAGACATGCTTCAGGATGTCAAAGCACAAGCAACACCTAAGCAGGATGATAGCAACTGGTCCACGTAACGCTGATCAATGCAAAGCCAGTTCTTAACTTCCTGGTTTGACAAACGCAAAAGCAGAATGAGAGCCAGAGACAGAACGGCGGGACCACTAGGGCATGCCATGCCGAAGAGACACCAAAGTCAACAGCAACACATAATTTGAGATTCAGAAACCCAATTCTTCGATTCGGCTGGCCGCGGTCTGCGTCGGAGCGGGCCTCCCCGCTGCAGCGAAAGTGTGTCACCGCAAGATTTCAAAAGACAAGCTCCGAGCGGGCAACCCCGTTAAACTCACTTCTTCTGATGGTGCCAATATTTTGCCTACTGCGCGTGCACGAACATGACGCTGAGCCCCCCCCCAAAAAAAGAGGAAGGAGGGAAAAACGCCCCACGCTGCATTCCGCACGAACGCAAATTACAAACGCATGAAAGCTTCAGAACCACTAACCCGAAACCGTTCAGGCTGACACTTGGACAAAGTACTGCGCCTGCCCGCAAGGCGGACTACTTCATGCGGGACTACCTCAACCGCTCCACCTCCATCAAGAACTACTCCCTGCGCATTAAGCGCTTCCAAAGTGCACACCGCACCCAGTACAATTTCAAGGAGGTCAACAACCTACAGTCTTAAGAGCGGCTTCATCTGGGACTACCGCCTATCACTGGACACCAATCAATTACATTAGTTTCATCACAACTGAGTACCACGCACACCACCTGGTAGCGCGGCTCACCACACCACCACCAACTACGAAACACAACGCCCCAACAACTGCAGGTAGACGTGCCTGTGCACTATATCAACGACAACCGCACCCAGGGTAAAGCAACAATAGCGAGACGCTAACTACTGCTTGATTTGGATGGACTTCAGCCAGCAATTCAGAAGCGCCGTTCAGTTCAACCATGCCGTGTACCACGGACTCAAATCGAACAGCGAGCGCTATGTGCTACTGAAGTGATTGCTGATACTGGATTACGGACATGAGATTTGGAACTCCTTCCTTTGAAGGGATTACAACCTTCTTTGTTTCTTCTGCAGTGACAGTAGCAGGGCTTTCTTCACGACTGTCAACCTCTTGTGTGACAGTTGAAGGGCGCTACAGAACCTTCAACTGACAGCCCGTGTCAAGCTGCGCATCATGCACACTGCTGGCGGCCTTGAGCTTGGACCTCGGTGCTACATGCGAGCTTCGCGCAAACGGCGCGCGGCAGACTACAGGTTCGATTGTTCGTGAAAGAGTGCAACAGCACGTTTTTGAGTCTGAGCTTCACGCAAAAGAGAGAGGGAGGCCTCTGCTTTTTGGTTCACGCGTGCGAGGATTTTATGAGGCGAAGGGCGTTCCAATCAGGCAGCTGGAGACATTCTCAGCAGCTAGCTCTGTGCTGGAGCGATGGGAGAGCACCTTGGTGGGATTGACTGCTTTTTATGTGCAAGCGTTCGTGTCAGAGTTTCGTGTCAGAAAATGAAAGCTCAGGCCTCTATGTTATGCCCTACTCCAGGATACGGTCAGAGTTCAGGTCAGTGCTGGGCATTGACCCTGGAGGCAATGCTGTGTGTTCTTCCCTTGTCAGAAAGGGGCTGGGGCTGGTCAGGACAGCTGACGCGGGATGACTTGGAGGAGGCTTTAAGGAATGCTGCCCTGTGGGCAGAGCTTCCGATGTGGGCTTTGGCCCAGGACGCTTGACTTGTGTTTGGTTAAGTGTTTCCATGGACCAATCACGAAAGGGGGTCTTTTTTCACGGCGTGGTGCGCTCCGAAGCTCGGGCGGCACCTAGCTGGTTGCGTGGCAGTGGTGGGCTCTGGGAGAAGCGTGCATCTTTGAGCCAGCGCCGCGACGCAAAAAAGAAGCGCGGGAAAGTCTTTCTGCACGCGCGCGCGTCGCAAATGGACCACGCGCTTGTTCTCGCCACGCCGCCGAGCGTTTTGACTTCTCCCATTCTCGAATCTCATCTTCGCCTTGGTGCGTGGCTCGCAGAAAAGGTTCTTACGTTTGTGAGACTCCAACTGGCTTCATTGGTCATCATGTGTTTGGCTTGCTCGTCACGGTTGCCTTCGGCCCGATGTGAAGAAACGCGCCGCTTGGACCGCTCTCGCGGCACGTGGTGACCACTTGGGTGAATTCGTTCGCCCTCGAGTTCTTGTTGGGGCTCAAAGATATTGGTGTACTCCCACTGTCAGTATGGCAAGGTGCGGAGGCTTTGCCTTCTGTTTTATGGCGCCTAAGCCACTGCGGAATGCATCAAGCAGATATGTCATGCTTAGGGATTCACATGCAATCACTGCATTGCTGTCAGCGTCAATCGTGTACAGTTCATGGAGCAAATCAGACACAACAATTCTGGCCCTGAAAGCATGTTAGGATTAGGGAAGCTTATGGACAAATGAACTACAACCCTAGCCAAGGAAAACCTTATGACACGAGAGCTGCAAAATGCTTTTGCGCGGCAGTCTCTTGTAGACTGTTGAAAACCGAGTGAAAAGAATTAGTGACACTCCAGTCACCTGCTTGGGATGCAATGGGCCGCAAGCTGTGTTGACCGCTAGCGCGGTAGCGCACTGGAGCTGCCGAGCACAAGCTTTTCATATTCCTTGATCAGTTCATACACAGCTCCTCCCTCTCTGCATCCTGACAGGCCTTGCGACGGTCCTCTTCCGTCCACAGCCTCTGAAACATATTGCTGAGCGTCACGCCAGTGCTGGATGAAGGTGTCGCTTCTTCCCGGGCTCTATTGAGCTGCAGCCTTGCGGTACTTCTCATCGTGGTCCAGGGCCTGTCGAAGGACATGTCCCGACCGCCAAGGAGCAAGTCCGAGGGTTTGCCCGCTTGCGAGTCTTCTCCCAACGGAGCGTATGGCCGAGCAAGCAATCAACACGGCCAGCGCCAGGCCCTTGTAGGAACGAGGTCGTACTTGCGAAGCGCCAGCTGGCTTCTTGTCCAAGCTCTGGTGGGACCTGGCAGACGCTTCGCCAATAAAACCTCCGTCTATGTCTCGAGGAACTGCAAACGAGCCCGTTGTTGCAAAGCCCGCGGCCAGGGAGCACCTCCACTGACACGTCGCCAGAAGGCTCCTCAAACGCCATTGCCCTCCTCATGCGCCAGCTTTAATGTCCCAGCTAGCTTCACTGCAAGGCGCTGACGGGCACCGGCAAACTTCCGCGGCAAGGCCTGCGCAGACAGCGTGTGGCGGTCCTGCAGGGCCCCCGCTTGCCCAACAACCGCTCCTTTGAGTCCAGGAAAGACCGCGGAAGATTGGCCTGAAGCACGCCCCCCTTCCAGCTGCAGAGAAGCAATTGGCCGGGAGGAGCAGCTTTTTTGCCAGTCAGAAGCAAAAATTCCAGGCAAAGCCCATGCCAGAGGCGCTGCCTGCCCCAAGCTTTGCCCATAGCAAGCAGAACTGGCTTCCCGTAATCTCAGATAAAATTTTGCGCGGGGCGAGAGAGCTCCGGGGACGATACCGCACCCTGTTTGCCAGGGTCAGGGGCTCCCGCAGCAGCCGCCGCTCCACAGAACGCCCCTGATACCTCCATCCCACGCGCCAATTGGGCTGCGACAAAGCAGTCCAACTGGACAGTGTTGAAAAGCTTCTCGTAGTCCGCCGGAGACAATTGGTGCCACGCACCAGCAACGTCCAGGGACGTCCAGAACATGTGTTGCGCCAAGTCTGGGAACAACCCTATGAACTCCAGCTTCAACCCTGAAGGCCCAGGACGTGAGCCGCGCAGACGCCGCAACTCGCCGGCTTTTTCTTTCTGAGTGAGCGGAGCTACCAAACAGAAGTCGGGGCGCTCGAGCGTGCGCAACACTGAATACCCTGGCGCCTGTGAGCAAGAAAGCCAATGCCACCGGTCAACCGTCCAGGCACTGGGTGGGCAGCCACAACAACAACGCGAGGGCAAGAGGCAGGCCAGCGGCTGCTCCATCGGTACGGCCATTGACCAACACGAACCACGCGGCTGGAGAGGACGGCAACATCCCCACCGTTCCAGCGGTGAACTGACCAGAGGCCACGTGAGACTCTCCCGGCTGCACTTGGGCCCTGACAATTCAACGGCGTTCGATCAGCGCGCCCTGAGCCAGGAGGACGCATCCTCAACCACGAACATTGCGCCTGTGCGGCGAAGAAAGCGCGTGTGCTGGTGTGGTGGCCGTGCCCCAGCGCTCATCTCTTTCTCTGCTCTGCGGGTTCCCGCGCAGTTCGCGGGTGTGTTCCTGGGACCGGTCAAGTTTGCTGCCTGGTGGATCTCCTTGCGGCTGACTCCTCGTCAGGCTCTGCTAGCTCTGGCTGGTCTCGCTGTGTGCCCGCCTGATGCGCGCTCCTCTGCAAGGGTCTTTTCGATGCAGGCTTCCTGGCCCTTGAGTCATGGGGCGCCGGCCGCGTCGCGGCTCGGGAGTGCAAGGGTACGGCTCTGCTGGACTGTTGGGCGGTCAGCGTGGTGCTTGCCGCGCGTAAGGGCATTGTGGGGGAGGGGGGTGTGCGCCGCGACTCCAGCAGGCCTGATGCTCTTGCAAAGGATGCGGTTGATCTCTATCTCTATCAAGTCCCAACGATGACTGTCGCTAGTGCGAGGATCTGGTTTGTCCCGGCTTTTTGGATTGTGCTGGAATGAGTTCCTCCTTGGATCTGTCATCATTGCCTATTGTCTCCTCGGAGATCGGCAAAAAGCCGGTGTTGGTGAAGGTTTAGTTTTCGGCGGCTGCAGACGGGTGAGCGACGGAGGCAGCACGGCCGGATGTATAGCCTTAACCACTGGCGGCCCGTCTGGTGGATTCCGGTCTGGGCCTCGATTGGTTTTCTGGATGGATCATATCAGTGGGCTGCACCACCGCCGGAAAAGGTTTGTTGGAAGTGGTGTGAAAGGACCTGGGCCGTCAGGAGGCAGGTTACCGAGGAGGTGGGCCAGCCATGTCATCATCATCCATGGGCGCATCAGAAAGGTCTGACGCGTAGGATCCAGAGCGGAGGCGGTAAGTCATCACTCGTGCCAGTTCCATCATCCGGCGCCGCAAGAACATCTGGTGGGAGCTCTCGGAATGGTGTCATAGTAAAGACACACAAAGGAACGCTCGGAAATCACAAGGTTTGTAAGGTCAAGACGTCTGAAGTCTGCGACGTAAATACCGCTGTGTGTGCACGTTTGCGCCACAGAAAAAGGACACCATGTTCCCGTTTCTGCAAGTGAGTCCGAATGCCAATGGTACCTACAGCGCACAGTGGTTGAATCGAAGCGTGACAACATGTACCTGCTTCATGGTGTGTTACCTTCCATACCCAGCGATCTTGAACAGGTTGCGTCTAGACTATATTCCATGCCTTTGGGCAAGGCATCAATAAACAGATGGTGCGGAAACAGGCAGTGAAACCAATTTGTCTCAGAACGCGGTGGATCGCAAAACACCGCCAGTGCGGTATCTTCAAACTTCTGTAAGCTGGAAAGGAAACCACTCAGATCTGGTGGAGGAAAGACATATTCCACAAGGTCTGAAACCAAATGAACATGTGCATCTTACATGTAAGGTGTGAGCAGGTCGAAGAGCATCCGGTAAAACTTGTAAGGATTTACTTGAGCTAACTTTGCGCGAGAACCGTAGCCAGGTGCATTACCTTTAAGGCATTCATGTTGGTCGTGTGCGCCCCCGAGCTTCATGTTTGGACACTTCTTGAAAAAAGGCAAAGTGCATCTTCTGGAAGAGTGAAGTGGGCTTGAGGAAACTTCAGGAGATAAACCATACAGTCAGGCCACCACATCTTGCGACCAGCGGGGTTCTCAAAATGACATGTCTGCCATGTTTCAATTGGAAAAGAGCGACCTTGACACAAACATAACCATTCGATGGCTCCGTGCCTTGCACTCGGGTGACACGAAAATGAGTTCCGGCTCTTGTTCCTCAACAATCGTCATACAACGGCGTTGCCCATCTGCCGTGCCAAGATCAAAGCTGGTCCTCAGAGGACTGGACACCTGCAGCCCTGCTGCAGCTGCGGTTTGTGACGTTAGCGCGGATCCTGCAAAAAGCTCAAGAAAGTCTGTGCGGCCGGTCATCTGACATTGCCAGTGCAAGGTCTGACAAGGACCACATGTGGTCGGATCATCCTTGAAGACATCCTGGCGCACTTCCCCATTGTCAGATGAACTGCTAATGCGATTGAATGCGCGCAGTGGTTGAGACCCTCTGGTGCTTGAAAGTCATGACTAGCCTTTACTTGATGGCTGCTGTCTCAGTGTTTGCAAGCGCAAGCTTTGAATGGGCAATGAAAAGAAATAGCGCGCCCTGCACTGACAAGTCTGTCAACTGCATACCGACTTCCCATAGCACGTGTACATCCAGACTCCAGAATCACGTAAGGGGGATGGTGTTCCAGGTTGATTCTATGGGACAGCAAACAGGATTCATCCAAGTCGCCATAGTAGGTAGGCAAAGACCTGCTGATGTGTGCAGGTGTTTTTCTTTCTTGCTGCACTATTGCTGGGCAGTTGCGTGCCCGCTAGTGCGGTGTCCTGGCTGCCGTGCGCGTTGCCTCGCAGTTGCTAGCCGTAATGCAGGTGTTTTTCTTTCTTGCTGCACTATTGCTGGGCAGTTGCGTGCCCGCTAGTGCGGTGTCCTGGCTGCCGTGCGCGTTGCCTCGCAGTTGCTAGCCGTAATGCTGAGCTGCTTCTGGCTGCTCTTGTTGGGCGACA